TATAGTAAGTAAAATAGTTAAATGGCGCCCAACATATTAATTATTGCACGATCATATATTTAAAAACTGTCTGCTATGATATTTAAACCAACTCTTTCACTTACTTTATATTAGATTTGGGGAAAAATAAATCCATTAGGCCGGTCGTCGAAAATGGAGTGGGTCACATACGATAACCCTGTGCGAAAACGATCGTGACCAAAGACCGGTGAAGCACCTCAAACGGTAGCCAAACCAGGACTAAGGTTCTGGTATTCATTTGGTGGGACTGGAAGGGGATTATTTATTATGAGTGGCTTCAATATGGCCAAACGATAATTTCTGATGTCTGCTGTCAAAGACTGGGCCGTTTGAAGATACCAGAATTGGCCACAGGAGAGTTGTCGTGTTCCACCGGGACAACGCTAGGCCACACACATCTACAATGACTCGCCAGAAACTTCGGTAGCTTGGTTGGGAAGTTTTAATGCATCCGCCATACATTCTGGACTTGGCACCAAGCGATTATCAAATTTTTCTTGCATTGCAAAATTTCTTTAATGATAAAAAAGTGGTATCTAGGGAGGATTTTGAAAATCGACAACTAGAATTTGTTTACAATTAGAGAGCAGGTTTTCTAGGAGAGAGGCATTTTGAAGTTACCTTTAAAATATCAACAAATAACACAACAAAACGGTTCCCAAATCGGACATTCCTAAGCATGTTAAATAAAGTGATATAATTCATATAAAAATAAATGATTTCTTTTCCCTCAACCTAATATTTATACGTTGCCTGCTCTTGCACTTACCATTTTTGTGAACAATCATTTACCACTTGTGGGATGAACAAAATATGGCGCCCAATAAAATAGAATTCTGATTTTTAAATAAACTCGTTTAATAGATGCATTTACCATTGGTAAGGTAAATAACTAGGTTCTAGAAATTTCAAAAATATGGCGCCCAATATATTAGTTTTCATACACTATTGATTATACCCTACACAACTATGTTGTCAGGGTATTATAGCTTTGTGCAGCCCCAAAAGCTTGTAACGCCGCGAAATATTGCTCATAAGTATACCGATCGACATATCTCGACTAACTGAGCCGTTCTAGCCACGTGTGTCCGTCCGTCCGTCCATTATAACTTTTAAACACGATACGATGCAGTTATGGACCAATCTTCACGAAATTTTGCATGTAGGATGGGTTCTGGCCAAAAAAGACCCCTATTGATTTTTATACAGATCGGTTAACATTTAGGGGATGAAATGGACCAAATACTTAATTTCTGTCGGTTTTTCTGGTCGCTCCAGAGGCCGCAATTATGGCCCAAACAACCCGAATTTTTACATGGAGAAGGGGATTGGGCCAAAGAATAAGTTTTGATAATGATCGGTCAATATTTAGCGGGTCAAATGGACACTGACTTTTGTGTGAAAAATTACAAAATTTTTATTCCATGGCGAATATATTTACTCCTGAAGGACGTAGGCCCGAGAAGTTGGCAATATATCCAAGAGGATTGGTTGACCTATATTGATACCAATTATATTGTCGTATGCACTCGGATGTGGGAGTTACACTTAAATATTTCCAGGTACTTACGTACTCAGATATTATTAAGTAACCCATTGCCATGCTAGAGGGCGGAAATGTAGCGCTGATTGCTTTGAAATTTCCCATGAAGTTCCAATTATGGTCAAGAACAACGCCTATAATTTTTGGTGATGATTAGATAATAATTTTGGGATGAATTGGACCGAAAATTTAATTTTTTGTGCTTTTTTTTCGAGTCGATCAATAGGCCACAATATAAAGCCGAACATAACAACACAACCCACACTGAAGGTAATCTGGACAAATAAATAGAAGGGCTGAACTGAATACTAGTAATATTCGGAAAATATTTCAGTATAAGGAAGAGGTGCTGTTGACCTCTAATCGGGCAAGAGGGTGCAACTATAACGAAATATTGGCCAGGATCGGAATAAATATCCGCAGAAAGTTAGAGTTCCGTGGTAGTTGTGTAGGGTATCGTATGATCGGCCCCGTCCGAAAATACTGTTCCGCTCACTGGTTTTCCTTTAGGTTTTCACTACAGTATTGTAAACTATATTAGATATAACCCACTATAGAGTACCCCTAGATTTCAAAAATCTAACCGATATTGGAAAACCAAATCTAAGGCACTTCTTTCTATACATTTCAAACAATCCAGAACAAAATCTTAAATTCAAAGCATTCAACATTGTGACACATAATCATGGTTGGAGTGACGATGGTGTCGATTGCCAATGAAGATGACATTAGAAAATGAAAATCAAAACAAAAAAGAATTCTAATGATTGAAGATTGTGGTGAAAGAAAATCCAACCACAAATCGAATGATTGAAATGCAATTCTCTAACGGCGTCGCATAGAATACGAATGTGAATATGGATAGTAAAATTGTTGAATGGTTGGCAATTGAGTGGCATCTATGATAATTACACGTAGACCAGAACAGCCAAAGATTGTCAAATGTGTAGAAGGGTGTATGGAGAGGGGGAAAGGGGAAGAAACTCATTTGTAGACAATCCATAAATGAAAACCTAGTCATGGCCCTGACCACATATGCCTGACTGGCTGCCTGCCTGCCAATCTGGCCACAATTGATTGGCCTCTTAAAACAGTAGCTTGCAACATGTAAGGCATGATTTAGTATTACCAGCAGTTGTGTCAAACTATTTGCAACAACAAACCATTTCACATGGCAAGTCATCAATTTGTATCGATTCAATGCTGCTGGTATGTTTATCGAAGGATGGTTGACGATGATAAAGTTGGGAGATTTTTTGGAAAATCGAAGACGAAGAAGAAGCATTGGACTTAAGCAAAACAAACAACGTAAAGCCTTGACAACCAAATGACTACTTGTCTTACGTGCTAATTGTTCTAGTTGTTGTTGTGCTTTACTTTAAATTGCCATTCCTTTCTCTTTAGCGATTTTTTTTTTTCTTCTGACTTTGCCTTTTTGGTAAGCCATGAAAGATCTGCCTTTAACAGCTTTGTATCTTTGATCTGCTGTGGTACAAAACTCTTCACACTTTACAGATCATGTATGGCTTGATGACAAATCAATGCGGTAATGAATACTTCTGTGTGTGAGTGTGTGTGTGTGCAATGTACACAAACCTTAATTGAACCGAGTAATCGAAGACTCAATTAACCGGTTTGGTTTTCAATTTTGTGGGAATTCGTACAAATTGTGGCACGCTAGCATTGTGGTTTGGTGGCAACAACAAGAAAAAATTGATACAACTTAGTTCGACAATATCGCTCACTGGTATTTAGTTTTGGTTCTGGTACTTGGCATGTCTTCTAAATGGAACAAACTCTTACAAATGCATATGACCGCAAAATGGTTGAGGTCAACTGTTTATTGGCAACGAGTCCGTCACTTGAGGAGTTTTGCAAATAGAGGTGTGTTAGTTGTCATGTTCGATACGGTATAAAGTATTGACTTCAAGTTTGAACTCATGACTTGTCAGCTGTCTAAGTTAATTTGCATAAAAACATTAGACATGATCATGATCGAAGAAGTACGAATATATAAGCTTGATTTGGATACTACCTCAACCATGCGGTGGAGGGTATTTTAAAGGTTTCAGTAGCATTTTCCAAACAAGGTGGTTGTAATTTGCCATTCTGGATTTTTGGAAACAATTTCCTATATAGGTCCATATTTTCACATAATCCCCATATTAAGATCCCATCCCATTTTTAGATTTTGGAGGTTTAAGTTAACTGAACTGCCACTTTGTATTCTAGGTTTTGTAGAGAGTGAAAAACGTATTCGCAGAAAGTGTTCGACATTGGTCCATTCTTTGACATATTTCCCATATAAACACCCCCACTCCCTGGTGACAAATCTCCCTACCATAAATTATGGTTGATTTTGAAGGACTATAAGAGGCGTGTTATTTGGGGGACTACAAAATGTGTGGTTTATTTTGAAGGACTATATGAGGCGTGGTTTACTTTTGAAGGACAATAAGAGGCGTGATTGATTTTGAAGGACTATAAGAGGCGTGGTTGATTTTGAAGGACTATAAGAGGCATGGTTGATTTTGAAGGACTATAAGAGGCGTGGTTGATTTTGAAGGACATTAAGAGGCGTGGTTTATTTTGAAGGACTATAGGAGGCGTGGTTTACTTTTGAAGGACTATAAGAGTCGTGATTTATTTTGAAGGACTATAAGAGGCGTGGTTTACTTTTGAAGGACTATAAAAGGTGTGGTTTACTTTTGAAGGACAATAAGAGGCGTGGTTTATTTTGAAGGACTATAAGAGACGTGGTTTATTTTTGAAGGACTATAAGAGGTGTGGTTTATTTTTGAAGGACTATAAGAGGCGTGGTTTATTTTTGAAGGACTATAAGAGGCGTGGTTTATTTTTGAAGGACTATAAGAGGCGTGGTTTATTTTTGAAGGACTATAAGAGGCGTGGATTATTTTTGAAGGACTATAAGAGGCGTGGTTTATTTTTGAAGGACTATAAGAGGCGTGGTTTATTTTTGAAGGACTAAAAGAGGCGTGGTTTATTTTTGAAGGACTATAAGAGACGTAGTTTATTTTTGAAGGACTACAAAAGGCGTGGTTTTTTTGAAGGACTACAAAAGACGTGGTTTATTTTTGAAGGACTACAAAAGACGTGGTTTATTTTGAAGGACTACAAAATGCGTGGTTTATTTTTGAAGGACTATATGAGGTGTGGTTTATTTTGAAAGACTACAAGAGGTGTGGTTTATTTTGAAGGACTATAAGATGTGTTATTTATTTTGAAGGGTAGTCCACATAGAACGGTACCTTCTGAATTTCGATGTTTTGATAATTGGGTTCTCATTAGGTGGAAAATCTTCCCACTTAGTGATATCGGTCGAACTCTCAGATCCTTAAAAATGGATTTTTTGAATAATATTTTTTTATATATTTTTAATATGAATTTCGTGTAATAACAAACATTTTCTTTTCAGATTCGAAGGCGTCGAAGTTATCTCACCCAATGAATTCGAAATTGTCCTATATCTCAATCAGATGGGCGTTTTTAATTTTGTCGATGATGGCACTTTGCCTGGTTGTGCAGTTCTCAAGCTAAGTGATGGTCGTAAACGTTCAATGTCGCTATGGGTTGAATTCATCACCGCGTCGGGATATCTCTCATCAAGAAAAATTCGAGCCCGTTTTCAAACCCTTGTTGCCCAGGCATGTGATAAAAGTATTTATCGAGATATGGTTAAAATGATTGGTGACACGACAGAGGTTAAATTGCGTATACGTGAACGATTTATTGTTCAAATTACGCCGGCATTTAAATGTTCTGGTATATGGCCACGATCGGCAGCACATTGGCCGCTGCCACATATACCATGGCCACATCCAAGTATTGTGGCTGAAGTGAAGACGGAGGGATTCGATTTACTCTCTAAGGAAAGTGTCATATTTCAAAATAAGAATAATAATGCCGCCAGTATGGAGGGTGATGCATGGGTGTTGAGCTTCTTCGAAGCGGAAAATCGACTGCTGCAAGGTAAGGAAAAATGTGGCGGATTTTTTAAAGTGTCTCTAAGAGGCGTGATTTATTTTGAAGGACTATTAGAGACGTGGTTTATTTTGAAGGACTGTAAGAGACGTTGTTTATATTAAGGGGCTATAGATGGCGTGGTTTATATTAAGGGACTATACAAGGCATGGTTTATATAAAGGGACTATAGAAGGCGTGGTTGATATTAAGGAACTATAGAAGGCGTGGTTTATATTAAGGGACTATACAAGGCGTGGTTTATATTAAGGGACTATACAAGGCGTGGTTGATATTAAGGGACTATAGAAGGCGTGGTTGATATTAAGGGACTATAATAGACGTGGTTGATATTAAGGGACTATACAAGGCGTGGTTTATATTAA